AACTCTACAAGATAATTCCGGACTCTTCCTGAATGTATAGCCATTTTACAACGCTTTTCTCAACTTGCAATTTTGTATGTCCAGACCACCATTTATACTACAAATTTAGCAAAGCTATTTATGGAAAATTCTAGATATCAACCTCGTTGTAGGCATCATATGCAACTAGAAGACTCTAGATGTCGCCCCGCCAGAAGAAGTTAAATATTGCGCCTAAATATATTCACTATTTACATACGTTACAGCGGAAATGGACGACACGCCATTTCTTTAAATGAAATTAACTGCTGCTATATGTATGTATGCATGTACTAAACGTGTATGTTTATACTAAACGTGAGCAAACAACATTTTGCTTGCACAGTCTTCTGTTCTCTTTTCCCTGCAAGTTGAATTATTTTAATATCTATTGCAAAATTTTGTACAGATAAACAACCATTTTATTTTTCAAAAAACCTGTGCGATAGTTATTATTTTACACCCTATTTATGATAAAATATTAATAGCTGAAAAAAGGAGTTCAAAGAAGTACAAAAGTAATAAAGGAGTACATTTCCAGATATTTTTTTTTTTTGGGAGTACATTGCAATAAAAAGGAGTACGTTTACTCCCAAAAGCAGTACGTCTGGCAACCATATCACTTGCTTCACTATTTCCGAACTGCGGATATGATGTAAAACTATGTAAAATTTTACCTACAAGCAGGTTGGATGAATGGCGCAATAAACAGGAGAAGTAACAGCTTTCTCGCTTTATGGAATTGAACGACACCTCATTTACTGCCCATGACTGTTGTATTTTAAAATTAGTAGCATCAACATCGACATTTTCCAATGTTAAGCAATTGTTCCGAGAACGATAGTGCCAATCATGAACCAAAATACAAGATCATGTAAGAACGCGACGTTGTATTTGTAACTGGTTTTGAGAAAAAAGTTTGCGAAAGCGAGTTCGTCATCTGAGCGTTTGTTTACAACACAAGCACCACGGTTTTAAACTTTTATTCAAGTAAAGAAGAGATAAATTAACATGACAACACATTTTAAAGCATTTTGTTGCATCATTTTACCTAAATTGTACGTTTAAAGTGGCTGACAATAATTTTGGCAAATTTTGGTTTTGGTTTTTTTCTTTGCTTTGTTTATTTTTCGCTCGTTTTCCAGTGAAACAAGATGGCGTAGAACCCGCTAAAAAAAATCGACTTTTTTCACTCTCTTGTTCTTACGTGATCTTGTGTATTTCGTTCATGAGTGCCAATAAACCGCTTTGTAGTTGAACTCGCATATTTGTTTTAAGTCGCAACTACACATTTTCTAATAGTACTTCAGAAAGCGTCAAATATATTTCAGAAACCATCAAATGTACTTCAGATTAGTCAAACGTACTTCAGAAACCGTTAATTGGACTTCAGATTAGTCAATTGCACTTCCGAAACCGTAAAATATACTTCAGACAAGTCAATTGTACTTCAGAAACCAAAAAATGTACTTCAAATTAGTCAAATGTACTTCAGAATCCGTTACTTGGATTTCAGATTAGTCAATTGTACATCAGAAACCATAAAATGTACTTCAGATTTGTAAATTGTACTTCATAATCCGAAAAATGTACTTCAGAAACCGAGAAATGTACTTCAGAAACCGCTTTTGTAAATGTACTTCAGGTGTTAAAGTAGTGCTCTACAATCCATTAGGCTTACAGTTCACTTCTTCCAATGAAGGGACTTTGCCCCAAATCCTTCTCTTTTGAGAATAGTAATAATAATAATAATAATAATAATAATAATAATAATAATAATAATAATAATTGCTTCAAATCGCAATCGAATGTACGTATGTATGTATATACTGCAAGCATAGGCTGCATTTCTTTATTCATTCTGAACGTTTGGAATAAACTTTTTTGTTTACTTATTCTTTAGAACGTTCCTGATGATATGTAAACGTATATTTCAATGGCATTCTGTTTATTCTGGTTGTGAAATGGGTTTATCCGGAATGTATAAAGAAACGCAGC